CCATCATAAAAGGCAAGTGTGAATAGCCATTCTATTTATGTTCTTACGATGCACAGGAGGTCGATCAGTTCTGATTGAAAACCTCAAAATAGCTGTTAGTAATGCCTCATACTGGCACGACAGATCAAGGCCTTGATGCTGTGGGAGGTCGCTTAGCTTGTGTGCGCCCCGCCTTAGCCAGGATGCTCTCCAGAACTTCTTTTGGTATCCATCCCAACTAGCAGGCATTGTTGCGCCAAGAGCTAAGAATGACGTCTGCCCCCTGGTGGTCAACTAAACAAGACTCGGAGACTTTCCTTAACAGTCAGGTAGTTAAGTATTTCAGGACTCTTATGAGGTAAAATGAATGTATTGAGTAGTGATTTTATGTAACCTTAAAATATGTTACATTTAGAAAACGTAACATCTCTTGAGGGTGGTACAAAAGCAAGCGGCGGTGTGGTTACCCACACTTGCTCTGGAGGAACAGCAGTAAACAGAAACGATCACACTCTCAGTGTCGAGCTGTGATGACAGAAGTAGGAGTGCTGAAAAAATTATCTCACCTATCCTCTTTCTTGAACCGAACCCGACATTTAGTTAAAGCCTGTCGGGCTGTGCGAGAGCCCTTTGCCTCGCCGGGAACCTGGAGCCCCGCGGGGCGTCTTTTCAGCCCCATCCCAGTTCCTTGCGTTTTTCTTGTGACCTCTAACCGCTTCCACTTGCTCCATGAAGCTCCTTTACGGAGGAGATGAGATGGCCATGGGAAGGGAGAAGAGAAGAGGAAGGCCAACAAGAATTTTAATTTCCCAGGCGCGCAATGATTAATTACAGAGAGATACAAATGCCCTCCAAATCTTTTGTGCGCTTTATATCACTTCATTATTTTACCCAGTCTTTTTGGTCACCAGCAACCATTTTAACTAGTTTAAAGTCGAGTCCCAGGGAAATTATGTAGATTAGAATATCACCGATCTAAACTGACAGCCCCGAAGACATCTTACCTTGTTAAGCATGTTGATAGATTCTGTGTATTTAATAAATCACTTCTCTTATCAGAACCAACGCGCCAGCTGCACAGCCCTCTTCTTATCACAGAGGCCTCTGAACTGCCCTAAGTGTAATGTGGTAATATGGACAATGGGGAAAGCCTATATCAGATTATTCTGAGTTTTTCCACACCTACATGCCATCATTTGGAAATGTTATTTTATGATAAGTAGAATGAAAATACAAGAGCTAAAAATTTGTATTAATTCTGTTGCATTTTCCTCCCTTCTGATTAATGTAATTTTCTTTTCCTTGAAGTGTTGGTTTTGTTTTTATTTTTGTGAATGTGTATATGTGAATTATTTTTCTCAGATATTATTTACACATGGCCATTTCGACATGATAGTTTACTTCCTTTGTTATGATCAATCTTTGATTCTTTTCGACACTTAAATGCAGTCATATAGAATACATGGTTGTACTATTTGGTTTGTTGTTAACGTACAGTTTCCTTGGAATGTATTAAGGGATTACATACTTCTAGGCATACTCTAATAGTTTCATACCTTAGGTTTAAGTCTGTTATCCAGCGTGAGTTGATTTTTGTGAGAGGTGAAAGGTGTGGGTCCTGCTTTAGTCTTCTGCAAGTGGCTATCCAGTTTTCCCAGCACCATTTATTGAAAAGGGATTCTTTTCCCCTGTTTTTTTCTTATAATAAAAAGCTCAGAGGTGGGAAGTCTGTGGCTGGGGAAGTAGCCTTTTGTGGATCAAAGTCCCTTCTCCTTCTTTCCTTCCACTCTGCCATGCTTAGCATGGGGCTTTCATCTTCAGGTTTGTTGCCTAATGATTGTAAGTCAAAATTTTCATCTTTAGCTCCATATCCACATTCCATACTGAAACAAGATGTCCCTAATCTGTTTGCCTTTGAGTCTGTCTTCTTGTTTGAAAAAATAGGATGCTCTCTCCAAAGACTTCCTTCTGTGTCTATTGGCCAGAACTGGGTCTCAGATGCTAGCTGCAAGGGAGTCTAGAAAGATGAATATTTTCACCTAGGCCCACTTTCATTCTGAACAAAATTGGTTATGTTAGAAAGAATAAATAAGGGAATGGACATAAAGTGAAATTTTTTTGTTGTTGGAGTGGTTGGGAGTGAGGGTTGTGAATGGATGGTAATGAGTGAAAAATCACTTAAACCAAACACTTAGTTGAGATAGGCTGCAGAAGGGGAAACTAGAACTTTGCACTTGGGTGTGTTCTAATGAATGAGGAACTAGTTGTGTCAGCCTGGTCAGGTAACTGCATTGAAGAGCAGGCAGAGCTAAGTGACTGGAATGATGGTGAGAAGTCACCAACAAGATAGAGCTGAATCAGGAAATGGCCAGGAAAGATCCGGACAGAGACACCAGAGTTTAGGGGGTCATACTTCTAAGACCAAGTCAAATAGTCAGGGTGGCTTCTGGAGGCCTAGACTCTACTTTCCCAAGAGGCAGTATCTTGCCTGTCTTCAAATGGCCTTGTTTGCAAGCTGCTCACTGACACCACAACTCAGAGTGTCTCGGGAAGCTAGTCTGTTCCTCAGCAGAAAAGTCCCATGTGCTGCCATTTTTGTTTTTTTGTTTTTTTTGGTAGGTAGTGCTACAGATGATTGCAGGAGCAATACAGCAGTATTTTGAATGCTGGATTTTGAGCAAGAAGACTATCATTATCCAATGTCCCTTCTCCTAGAAGGATTATGCTATATATAATCTCACGGCTTGTGGAATGTGCATGTGGGAGATTTTGTCTAGCCACTAATCAGCTTCACTCTTCCCTTTGTCCCTTGTGAAGAACATTAGGCCCATGCAGCAGTGCTGGCTGGTCACTGGCAGTGTATCCAGGGCCACAGAATGGTGAGGCTGTCTGGGGTCTTAGTCTGTGACTGTGTTCTCTTTAGCCCCACGTTTAGGCAATCAGAGTTGCATAGAAGTACACTAGAGTCTGCTGCTACTAGAGCTGCTAGCTCTAAAGTGGGAGCTGGGGCCACAGGATACAGCCCACTGAGGGGCTGGCTGAGGCCTATCCTATGAGTAATGTGTGGGAATATTAAGCCACAGGCCGGGTTCAAGGATGACAAACAGTACCATGCTGAAAGAGAAGCCAGGAAGGAGAACTGAGGCACAGAACACAACGTTGAGGAGAGTCCTGTTGTTAGATATGCTAATCCAAAGGAAGAAGCAGAGAAGATCCTTTGTGTAGAAGTCAGAGTTTAGGGAGACCAGAACCACTGGGGGCTGAGGTGAGGGATGGGTACTAGGTCCCAGAAGGGATAGTCCTGAGACAGAGTCAGTGGCATGAGTGTCAGCTCGGGGGGGTGGTGGTGGTTGGAAGTGGGCAAGGTGGGGAGGATGCTGAGTGAAGTTTGCTGAAAATGGGTAGGTCTGGTTCTCCCAATCCTTGGCCTTGTCTGTCTTACGGTGGTGGCCACTGTAAAAATGTGCCAGGACATGGTCAGCAAAGGCTTCACATTTGGAATCTCTCTAAAGGGTTTGTTGGAAGTTCTGCCATTACCAGGACACTACTTTCTAATAGTCTTCTTGGTGCCAGGTGTGGTCCGATCTCTGTACGCCTTTTCTTTTCCACTGTTTAAAATGGAGACATTTCCTAGTTTGTAGGTCCTAAAAGAGATGTTTCCAGTCCAGATGAGACTATTTAGTTCTTGGAATTCCACCGAGGAAATAGCTATGTAAATTCAAAGTATTGTTATTCATGACATGTGTGGTTGATCTGAAAACTCTAGCTACTACCCAACCATGCAAACCATAAAATTAGACTTCCTGTACTGTGCACAGTAATTCTCTTTCTTACAGTAGAAACCACAAACTAATTTTGCCTTACAGAAATACGCTCTCATTCAAAATTTTAATGCACATTTTAAAAACTGGCTCAGTTTTCCTGTGAAGTCACATCTGAGAAAAGTGACCCAATCGGGCAATGCCTGTCTTACATACAGGACTATGCATGTTTTAGAAGCTTACCGGGAGCTGATTATGAAGATCACCAATCCAAATGATATAACAACTTTCACTTCCACATCACTAGTTCAATTAACAAATAATTTCCAATAATATGATTGCAAATATATTTCATTTCTGAACCTATATGCATCCATGCTGTGAACATCATCTGATTTTTTTGATTACTCTTTAATTCTTTAGCAGTTGCAATTTTTTTTACAAATGCATTGTGGGTAATTTATGTTGTTTTGACAGCTTGGTTTTTTTGATATAATTTGCAATTCTGCACCCAGAGTTGTAATATACTATAATACATTTTAGATAAACGGCATGGAAATACAGAGGTTATCCATGTAAAATGATTCATATTTCAAAATAGGGACTTATGTAAAGTGAAAAAAATATATATTGCTATTAATCACACTTTTTATATTACTTTTTCCTTGACTGAGATTTGTTACATTTACTATTGTAACATATTTCCAAAACACATTAGTTAAATGGAGCTGAAAATCACACGTGCATATTTTATGGAAAAAATGTGCAGATATATTTTCAATTTTAAGCTATAAACTATGGGTTTTTTTTGATGATTAAAATATTCTGGCCCATTTAAAATGAGCTACATAATAAAAGTGATGTGCAATAATAATTTTACAATGCTTAATAATATAAAGTGCTTTATTTGAAAAATGCCTTTTAAAAGATTTTATGCATAATTCAAGCACTTTTGTTCTGTTCTGTATAGAAAATAAGCGAGTGATATGCAAGTGAAATCAGAAATTGAAGGGTTTAAAAAGTAATTAAAAAAACCAGGCAGATTTCTGCCTCTGCTAGAATTAAGAAGTAGCGACACTTTAAATGTTACACGCTGCTGGCAACTGGGGAAGTAGGGCAGAGTGACATTAGGCCCAAACTTTCTCTAATATAGGTTTTCTGGCTTAAAAAGGGGGGTACAAAGGGTTATTGAAGTTTATTGAATATGCTTCTTATTGTCAATTCATGTCACTAAAGAGAGTTTGCTCTTGTTCACACAAGAGAGAACCTTTCAGATCTTCAACCAGATACCTGCCAAGAGTACCTTTAACATGCAAACTAGCCAAGGGAGTTTGCCTGTGTCCTCATAACCAGTGTCAAAGCAGGAGAACCTGAAGAAATATTGCACATGTCCTCCCGGTGCTGCCCCTGAGCTGTCCCTAAAGAGGTAGGAAAACCAGGTTAGGTAATTGCAATGTGTTTATTAATGAAGGCTGGGCTATTGTTCATTTAAAGTCGCCCAAAAGGTTAAAATAATTTTGAAAGGGGCTTACAGTATGAAAAGAGGCATGGGAAATCAGCCCCAGTAGGAACAAGTTCATTACTAATCCACAGTGGAAACCATGATCCTCATTTTTTTTTTTTTTACCTGCAGACATGATAAAATACTAGTAGAGTTTAAAAAAATTACATATTAACCAATGATTAGATTGTCAAATGTAATAAAATCCCAGAATAGGCTGGGCATGGTGGCTCATGTCTGTAATCCTAGCACTCTGGGAGGCTGAGGTGGGAGGATCGCTTGAAGTCAGGAGTTTGAGACCAGCCTGAGCAAGAGGCAGACCCCATCTCTACAAAAAATAGAAAAATTAGCCAGGTGTTGTAGCATGTGCCTGTAGCCCCAGCTACTTGGGAGGCTAAGGCAGGAGGACCACTTGAGCCCAGGAGTTTGAGGTTGCTGTGAGCTAGGCTGACGCCATTGTACTCTAGTTTGGGCAGCACAGCAAGACTCTGTCTCAAAAAGAAAAAAGAAATCCCAGAATTTCCTGGTTGCTTTGCTACAAAAATTCAGTATGCTGTTTGTAAGTTTTATCTACCTAATTTAGGCTAATTTTAATATAGCCTAAATGAACAAAGGATTTTGTTGAGTTGGAGCAATATTTAAAAAGTGTCCAATACAACTTAAAGAGTAAAAATGTATTTTATTGTAAGTTGTCTTTTGTCCATCCTTCTATGAATTAGAGCTGAGGATTACTTTGTTACCTCTACTCTTTATGTATGACACTCACTCTTGAAATGATAAGACTTTCTAGAATCCTTACCTAAGTTTAAATAAACTCTGAAAAATCACTTGTTTAATATTGCTTTTTTTGCCATATGCTGTCATCTATTCTGATTTTATTTTTTTACCCACAGTGACTTCTTGGGAGAACATTACATGGGTGGAAATAACTAATTGCTGGCTGATTGATTATGATCAAAGAGTGTGTGTTCTGAAGTTGGAGGTTGAATAAAGCCAGTGCCACAGCTCTAAATGGGGTGTACATGTGGTTGATTGGATAGAGAAAAAACCCAATCCACTGCAGACAGGGCCAGGTGAGATGCCTTGAGGCTTTGGACTATACTGCCGATTCCTAATTTACATAGATTACTTTGAAACTGACTGTAAACTAGTTAAATGGTTGGCGAGTGATAAAATATGAAGAAAATAATAAATGCATACTAGGTGGCACAAAAGATTTAGAGGGATTTGTATTAGCTTTGTAACCAGACCGACATGTGGGAAATAAAATTTATCGTTGCTAAACATTGAACATTACTCCTGAGGACTAAAATAATGAACACAGTAAAAATAAATAGCATTGAACTAACTAGAGCAGTAAGACTTGCAAAAAAGTACTCCAGAGAGAGGAAGGAAGGGTTTTTCTCCGACACTGTCTAGATAACATAACGCCACAAATCAACTAAGCAATAGCATTAGGCTAATTATGCCCAGATATCAGGTCGAAGTGTTTAGTAATAGCCAATTTATTGACTCTTTCCTCCTAAATTCCTAAGGAAGCATCAATATTTATTAAAATATACGTGTCAAGATTTTATATCTGTAAGCTTTTAAAAACATAGCAAAAATTATAATACAGTTTGGATTGGAAAAGATTAGAAAGGTTTCAATTCAGCGTCTGTGTTGAGTGTTGAATAAACCCATTAGAACTTGAGATATTGCCTTGGAAAACATGAACGACAACAAAGAGTATTAGTTCAGGAAGTAGCCTCTCTGGGAAAGAGCTGGAAACTTATCATTAGAGACGTTCGAAATCGACATAAAATATGCCAAGCAAATTATAATATTTTCTCTCTGATGTTATTCCTAATGTACCTAGTGAAAAACATTTATTTTATTTTGTCAATGTGTTTTTCTCTCTCAGTTTACCATTTAGTACATTACAAATCAGTTTTAAATTTCACGGTAAACACAGTCATGTTTTTCAGTGTCTCCCCAACAGGTCCATATAGTCATAGATTAATTATTGAGGACAATATCAGATTTGTCACTTACCTAGGTATTGAGTTTCAAACTGTACCTCTCTTTAGGAATAAGATCAGTTTTTCTGAATGTCCTACTAAACACATTTGTCTTTCTTCATCAAGGCAGTGTGAATAGCCATTCTATTATGTCTTACTGATGCACAGAGGTCGATCAGTCTGATTGAAAGACCTCAAAAGCTGTTGTAATGCCTCATACTGGCAGCGACAGATCAAGGCCTTATGCTGTGGAGGGGCTTCTAGCTGTGGTGCTGCCCCCGCCCTTACCAGGATGCTCTCAGAACTTTCTTTTATCCATCCAACCAGCAGGCATTGTTGGCGCCAAGAGCTAAGAATCTACGTGCTGCCCCCTGGTGGTCAATCTAAAGCAAGACTCGGAGAGCTTTTCCTTAACAGGTCAGGTAGTTAAGTATTTCAGACTTTATGAGGTAAAATTGAATGTATTAGGTAGGTATTTATGTAACACTTAAAAATGTTACCATTAGAAAACGTAACATTCTTGAGGGTGGTACAAAAGCAAGCGGCGGGCTGTGGTTACCCACACTTGCTCTGGAGGAACAGCATAAACAGATAATCACACTCCAGTGTCAGAGCTGTGATGACAGAAGTAGGAGGTGAAAAAATTCATCTCAACTATCTTCTTTCTTGAACCGACCCGACATTTAGGTTAAGATAGCCTGTCTGGGCTGTGCGAGAGCCCTTTGCCTCGCCGGGGAACCTGGAGAGCCCCCGCGGGGACGCTCTTTCCAGGCCCCCCCCATCTCCATGTTCCTCGCTGTGTGTTTTCTTTGACCTCTAACCGCCCTTCCCACTTGCTCCATGAACTCTTTTACTGGGGAGGAGAGAGGAGGCCTGGGGGAAGGGAGAAGAGAAGGAGGAGGCCAACAAGAATTTTAATTTCCCAGGCGCCAATATAATTACAGAGCAGATACAAATCCCTCCAAATCTTTTGTGCTGCTTTATATGCATTCATTATTTTCCTCATCTTTTTGTCACCAGCCAACCATTTAACTAGTTTACAGTCAGTCCCAGGGAAATTTATGTAGATTAGAAATCACCGATCTAAACTGAAGCCCCGAAGACATCTTACCTGTTAGCATGTTGATAGATGTTGTGTTTTAATAAATTCACTTTCTCTCTATCAGAAACCAAGCGCCAGCTGCACAGCCTCTCTTATCACAGAGGCCTCTGAACTGCCCTAAGTGTGGAATATGGACAATGGGAAAGCCTTATATCAGATTATTCTGGAGTTTTTCACCACCTACAGCCCATCATTTTGGAAATTTATTTATATAGGTAGAAGGAAAATATCAAGAGCCTAAAAATTGTATTTAATTCTGTTGCATTTTCCTTCCCTCTGATTAATTTAATTTTCCTTTTCCTTTGAAGTTGTGGTTGAATTAGAATTTTTTTCTTTCAGAATTATTAACACATGCCATTTCTGACAGATAGTTTACTTCCTATGACAATCTTTGATTCTTTTCACACTTAAATGCAGTTCATATTGAATACATGGTTGTTACTATTAGTGTTTGTTGTTAACGTGACAGTTTCTCTTTGGAATGTATAAGGGTATGTACATATTCTAGCATAAGACATTTTTTTTTTTTTATTTATTTTTTTTTTTTGAGACAGAGTCTCGCTTTGTTGCCCAGGCTAGAGTGAGTGCCGTGGCGTCAGCCTAGCTCACAGCAACCTCAAACTCCTGGCTCAAGCAATCCTGCTGCCTCAGCCTCCCGAGTAGCTGGGACTACAGGCATGCGCCACCATGCCCGGCTAATTTTTTCTATGTATATCAGTTGGCCAATTAATTTCTATTTATAGTAGAGACAAAGTCTCGCTCTTGCTCAGGCTGGTTTTGAACTCCTGACCTCGAGCAATCCGCCCGCCTCGGCCTCCCAGAGTGCTAGGATTACAGGCATGAGCTACCGTCCCCGGCCCTAAGCCATTGTTGATTGGGCTTTCTTTTTCATTCAGATCCTTGAAGTCAAGTGAGTGTAACATCAAAATGGAGAGAGACGCATTTGTTTACTTCACCACAAAGCTTGGAGGAGTTTCGGTACTTCAAGGGCTCGTTGAAGGGGTAGTGGAGAGCAGAAAGGGGGAGCGTGTCAGGCCAGAGGACCCATACCCAGACTGTGCAGTGCACGTGCCAATGGAGGCAGTGGTCCCCGTGGCTGTGGCAGCAGTGTTTGGTGATCCCAGCAAGAAGGGAAGATGTGCCAGACTGGAGTAATGTGAGCGGCGTCACCTGGCAGATGTAGTGGTCCCTGGTTGACACTGGGGTGCCTCAGGTTGCAGAAAGAGAAAAAAGAAGCTATGGTACACAGTAGATGAGTAGGTGGCCGATTTTACTTGTTTATGAGCACACATGAGACATCCTTGGTATATTAGAGAGGATAACCTGATACAACACATATGCCCCAAAGGTTTAATGGCTCAAACACAACAGGAGTTTATATTTTGCTTACATAACAGTTGTGAGGGGTTGAGTCATTGCACACCTGCAAGGCCCCGCGCCCCCAGTGAAGCCGGAAGCAACATCCAGGAAGGCTGACCAAGACGTCCGCTTCTGGAAACTGTTGCTTTCTTGCCTGCGCCATGGAAACTGTTGCTTGCCAACTTCGCATTGTTTGAACCATTGTATAGTGGGGCTACCAGCCAACCAATCATGTTAAAGGTCAATGCATGATCCACGCGTGATCAGCCACTGCATAGCGTATGCACCATAGGGATAAAAGGCACGCTGCAACCCCGGTCGGGGTCCTTGCCTGCGAGAGTGGCCACTGCGTTGGTGCTCTGGGGCTTGGACCCTGGCAGGCTAGAAAATAAACCTCCTCTTGTGTGATTGCATCCTCGATGTCTCTTCTTTTCTGTCCGGTGGGGCTGTGGAAGGTCGGTCCCTAACACAGTCTGGTGGCCAGTGGATGGTTCTCTCTCTATCTGGCAATTTGGGGGTCCGGGAGACTTCCATGTGGATTCTCTGCATTTCCCTGGGACTTGGTTGCTATCGGCATCCAGCTGGCAAAAGGGAAAGAGAGAACGTGGGGAGAGATGCCTGTTTAACCTCAGTCCATAAGTGGCACACGTTACTCCTTTCCTACTTCACAGTGAAGAGGAGTTATATGTCTCTACTAACTGCAAATGGAGTGGGACATGGGTTCCCATGGCTGGGCAGCTGCTACCAGTTACATTTTATAACTTGAAACAGGAGAACGAATTTTGATAGGCAATCTCTGCCACCTCCAAGAACTCCTGGAAATGTTTAAGGGTGGAGTGGGGGTGGGGCAGACACTTCCCAGGGCCCTGGAGTTCTGAATTGGCCGGTGCTGTAAGCTGGTGATACATAGGTCACAAGGCCCGGGTTTACCTACTGATCTTCTAAGAGTTGCCAGTTGGAGTAGCTTAAGTGAAAGAGGCATTTCCCCCCTTCTTTGCAATTATGTTCTTGGAATTATTTAGCATATAAAATTGCTGAATAATTGAAAAACCCTGTGTTTTGTCTAATTACAGTCATGCATTGCTTACCGACAGAGATGCATTCTAAGAAATGTGTTGATAAATAATTGTGTTGTTGTGTGAGCATCACAGAATGTACTTACACAGGCCTAGTTGGTATAGCCTTCTACACACTTGGGTGTAAATAGCCTATTGCTCCTAGGCTACAAACCTGTACAACATGTTGCTATACTGAGTTCTGTAGGCAACTGTAGCACAATGGTAAGTATTTGCGTATCTAAACATCTGAACATAGAGCAGGTACAGTAAAAATAGAGTATTATAATCTTATGGGACCACCATCATATATACAGTCTGTCATTTACCAAAATATTGTTATGTGATGCACAACTGTATTTAGATCTGGTATGGCCATAGTATTGAATTTCATTTATGATTTAACATAAACCATACATCAACAGTCTAAACTCTAATATATACATCTGACAGGTCCTTTTATTATTGAGAACAAAGTACTTGAAAGCATTTGATAGTTTTTTTTTCTTTCTTTTTAAAAGTATTTCTGATGACTGCATGGCTTATGACTATTAATACTAAGAAATAGAATTTCAGAATGAGCATCAGACTTATTTTTCAAGTGCCTTGTCATAAATGCACTGCTACCCATGTAATAAAGTAATTTTTCCCTTGTGTGATAAATATAGCACTAAAGAAGAATGAGCCTTGTCTGATAAAATGGCTTTTATTAATCTCCTAATGTTTTTATTTTGTTCTAGAATTATGATTAGTTTCAAGAGAGTAGCAAACAGGTTATGATCACAGTTGAATATTATTGCTATCCAGATATCTTTGGTTAATGCCTGCTGTTTATTTCAAAAACAAAATGCTCCATTAAGAAAAATCAATGCTAATGGTCTGACTTTATTATCAAGAAATTATACCTGTTATGTAAACCTTGCTAATTATAAGCGCTTGGATTCATTTGGGTGATATAACAGTTGAAAAAGGCCATTTATTAGGAGAAGTACTTGGCGTTGGTACTAGCATAATAAAACTGAAATAATAAAAAACAACCCAAGGAAAGAAGAAATGTTAATGAGGAATGGAATTTGTGCAGGAATGAATTATACCAGGAGACAACATGGAGTGTGGGATTAACACTGAATGCTTCATCCTGGACACCTATTCCCCTCAGCCACCTGGAACAGCCTGCCCTCTCTTCCCCTCTTCTTATTTTACTTCTTATTCTTTGGGCTGAGCTCATGCCTGCACCTGCTTCACCTTCTATTGACTCCTAAGTCTTTAAAACTTCTCCGTTGACCCCTTGTCCATGGACCAGTCTGCCTCTGGCCATCCCTACTTGGATGTCTGCTAGGAACCTGAAGTCTATGTGTCCAAATAGAATGAGTCTTTTGTCCTCTTCTTGAGTCATCTACCTTAACCTGAATAACACAGTGTCACCCTTGACTCGTCTGTCTCTCACACCCATATCAAACCTGCCACATCCACTTGTTTCTGGTCAGAAATGTCTCAAATCTGCTTCTACATTCACTCCCACTTCCACTGCCTCAGTCTAGGCCACATTCACTTCTTGTTTTAATTACTGTAACTCATATATCTAACCAGCAGACTCATAGCATATAGTCATTAAAGCAATTTTACTTTTATCTTCTGTAGTCCTTTATTTTTTAAATTATTCTTTCAACTTTTTATTTAGAAATATTTCAAACCTACAGAAAAATTGAAATAATAGGACAATAAATACATGTATAAACTTCACATCCTAGATTCACTAATTCTCAACACTTTGCCACATTTTTCTCTCCCTCTCTCCCTCCTTCCTGCACCTCTGTCTCTCTCTCTCTCTTGCACTACATTTCCCACACCTCTGCACATTTCCCACACCCAGCCCAGCTCTGGCTCCCTAAAGATCGTGGCTTGGGAGAAGCTGTTTGCAGAGCGTCTGAAGATGAATGCCAGAGGACTTGGATCTCAGCTAAAGGACAGTATTCCAGTTACTGAACTTTCAGCAAGTGGACCTTTTAAAAGTCATGATCTTCTTCGGAAAGGTTTTTCCTGTGTAAAAAATGAACTTTTGCCTAGTCATCCTCTTGAATTATCAGAAAAAAATTTCCAGCTCAACCAAGATAAAATGTATTTTTCCACGCTGAGAAACATCCAAGGTCAATTTGCTCCACTGAAATTACAGATGGAATTCAAGGCAGTGCAGCAGGTTCAGCGTCTTCCATTTCTTCCGAGCTCAAACCTTTCACTGGATATTCTGAGGGGTAACGATGAGACTATTGGGTTTGAAGATATTCTTAATGATCCATCACAAAGTGAAATAATGGGAGAATCACACTTGATGGTGGAATATAAACTCGGTTCACTATAAATACATTGTGCTGTTTGTGAAAATAGAGGGGCTGCATCTTGTTTATAGTTGTCTTTTTACTGTAATTTGATGTATACAACATTAAAAGTACTGACATGAGAAAAAAAAAGATTGTGGCTTGGGATTGGTGTGGACACTGGCCTTCCCATCTGTTTCTTGTGGTCTGACCCTGAAAGGTGTTTCAGACAGAATCAGAGGGAGACAGCAAAGGAGAAGGAGTTACTTTGATGTCGTGAGCCTTGGCGAGCCACCAGCATCAGCGTTGGTGAGGGGGCCATTTTCCCAGACTGCAGTTGGGTCACTTTAGGGCTCAGGGTGGTACTAGAATGTCAGGCAAGACTGTGGCCCCCAGAGCACTGGCAGCTGTAGCAGGTCCCAGATACTCCCTTCATGTGGCTCTTTGACTGTGGACACTGAGAGCAGAAAGTGTGAACAGACTTGTATCTGAGTATAACATGTGAGGATTCTCAGAATGCATGAGACTGTGAGGCTGAGACGGCGGCGGCGGCTACAAAACCTTATGAATGCAAATAGAGGACACAACACAGCAAGATGGGGCACTATTGTTATAGTGACCTCATAGACAGGTGAAGCCTGAGGATGTTTGGGTTACTCAGGGACTGAAAAAAGATATTAAAAGAAATATAAGTGGTAAAAGGAACATTTCCTTTACCCTAAAGTTCAGCATGCCCCTAATTGTGTAGGAGTAATTCCTGACTCATCCATCATTCCACCCTTTCGGTTTGATGGTATATATGCAATATAAACACATGTGACACCTGTCTGTTTGGCTAGTTGGTCTTCAAAGCCATTGAGGACTCTTGGCACTGATTTTATTTTAAAAGAAGTAAAATATTTTTTGTCTGAATTAGCTGTTGTCTGAATTAACTACTCTGCCTTCTGAGTCAATGAAGCAAAACTCTCAAATCCTTACTATCTCAGAAATATTGCTGATGAGTCTTTATTTTGAAAGCTTTGCTTTTTATCAGAGGCAACTAGACATATGTTGCAGATTGTATTTTCTGGAGATGATGACAATGGTCTCTCCCATTCCTCATGCTCTTACAGTGTGGCTGTGACATCCCTCTCATAAAGTAGTGGGGTCTATGTCCCTCTTCTCTAACCTGGGTGGAACTTTGTGACTATCTCTATCAATAGAGTATGGTGGAAGTGACTCTATGTAACTTCTGAAGGTAGAACATAAAAATGCCATGCACTTCTGCTTTGCTCTATTGGGACATTTATTAATGGCATCCAGCCATTCTGCTATGAGAAAGCCCAATGAGTTCACATGGGGGGACCATGGGGAGAGGCCATCTATAGGAAGGTATTCCAGTCAACAGCCTAGCTGAGATCCCAGCAGGCCACCAGCACCACCTGAGCATGCCAGATGACTCCAGTCCTCAGCTGTTGAGTGGCCCTGCGTCTTTGAGTCTTCCCAGTGGACTATGCAGCTATCAAAGGGCAAAGACAAGTCCTCCCTGCTGTTTTCTGTTCAAATTCCTGACCCACAGAACCTGTGAGCATAATAAAATGTCTATTTTATGCCATTAAACATTAGGGTGTTTGCTATGCAGCAATAGTAACTGGAACAGCATAGTACATCCTTTTGCTGGTTTGTTGACAACTCTGTGAGTTTTCATCATCTAAAAATGTTTTATAAATGAATCAGTTTGAAGACATTTATTTATCATTAATTGTTGAGCTCTTATTTTGAGACCACCTCTGTGAAATTCTTTGGTTCAAACATGCGTGGGTAGTCAGAAGGGCCT